ACTATGTAAAAATTTGAGTTTTGAAGTGAAGTTTCTAATTTATTAATAGTTTTTCAAGCAGCTTTTCTTTATGATAAATCAATGAAAATTAATTACCCATTAAATTATAAAAATAAAAATAGATTGAAATGCAACAATTAAAATGGTATAAAAGTACTTTCTTTGCGGAAATTATATTTTCTTCTTTACAGTTGCAAGCGTGAGGGAGATTAGCTCTCTTTCTCCCTCTCTCTCCCTCTCTCTTTCTCTCTTAAATATTGTGAAAGCTTTGTTGGCAGGCAAACTAAGGAGCGGAACTCTGGGAATTGGAATGGGTATTCCAGGAGAGATAGAGAGATAGATAGAGAGGGAGGAAGCGGGAAGTGTTTGACGGGGCTCGTGATGATATTGCTGGAAAGATTAGACGAGCAGCAATGGCAGCCAAAAATTAAATAAGAAAAGATAACAAGCTAGGCATGCTCGCTTGTCCCAAGAATACGTGGAACGGCAACCAAACAACAAACAACAACAACGACAACAAACAACAACAGCAACAACTGAAAGCGGCGAGTCGAGAACAAATAGGCGAGTCGTCGGCTTTGGCCATGGCAAGCGGATTAGCTTACCTGGCCTCAGTGGGTTAGCGGTACGAAGAGCGGAGAGGAGGTATTAAACTGTGACGACGACATCGACGTCGACGCCGACGTCGACTGAGCCGCTCCCCTTGTGTGTGAGTGCCAGCTAAAAATTTACGATTTTAGCACAGATTGTAAAGTAAATTTTCCTGTTTTTATTTCGAATTAACAAGCAGGCGGCGCAGGCAAACAAAGCGACAGAAAGAGAGAGAGAGAAGAGAGAGCGAGAGAGAAAAGAAGAACAGAAACATTGTGAAAATAAAAAACGAAAGTTTTATGCATTTTTGTTTTGTCTTTTCTTCGCATTTTTTACATACATATTAATATATATATGTATATGTATTCCCAGTAGCCATCAGAAATGAATGAAAAAGGATATCATAAAATAGTGCAAATGTATGTGACGAGCAGAGGCTAAATATTTGACAACTTATAAGGTATATACTCGAAGGATTAAAATGACAAATATGTATTTACATATACATCTAAGTTTTGGTTTCATTCTACACTGGATACACTGGATAAAAATTATTATTTTTTATTTATTGTAATATATATTCTAATTTTAATAGTTGAAATAATAAAAGCCACCTTTTTTCGATGTCCTTCTATCGTTTTAAGATTAAAAAAGCTACTGAGATATTATTAAACTGTTGCTTCGTGTCCCTGTTATTGTCATACTTTTACTCAATAAATAAGATACGATAATAAATACACTTTTTTCTTGTTCCATTTGTTAGGGTATCTTTTAGTTGAGCACTCTTGTCTGGTTGTTGTTGTTGTTTTGTGTTTGGTTCTCCAGAATGCGGATTACAGGAAGCCCATGGATCGAACCGGTTGCTGGTTCTTTCAACTCCACTAAACTGAGTCGAGAGCCGAGTTCTGAACTGGTCGGTTACTTAATAATGCAAACAGGTTTCGGTCTCTCATCTAAGGATGTGAGATGTCCATCTGTCTGTCTGTCCGTCCATCTGTCTCTGGCGGGAATTGCGAGAAGTAGAAGGGCAAACGACTTAAGTTATGGATATTGATGAGATGTGCCGATGACGATGAGCCTGCTGATAATGATGATGATGATGATGATGATGATGATATGGTGACTGCCTTGAATCGAACTAGCTTTTTATCAAGGCGATGACAAGGCGCGATTAGAATGGACACAGGAAATCTAAAAGAAAAGACAGAAAGAGAGAGGGAGAATGTCAGATTAAAATTATGGGTTCAAAAAGGAACCACTCACAAATGGAACAGTATTGGGTTTCCTTCGGTTTCCTTGCATAATAAGTACATGCAAGAAGTTGTTCATTGTTCGAGTCGTGATAATCTCATCATGATAACGAACAATAGTCTCAAGGTAAATGCACACATAGATGAAAATATACGATAATTATATAAAAATACATGGAATTAAAATATACACAACAAATGTACATAAAATTAAACTAATTATACACATATAAAAAATAAGAATGTGACATTTTCAATGAGTATTTAAATAAATAAGTGTAGCCACTGCACTTATTATTTTAACCATAGCTGTATATAAAAAGAGCTTTTTCTTACTGTCCCCACACACACACACACACACACACACACACATGTAGTAATCACTCTGCTTATGAGTTAGAGCATTTAGTAAAAGAAATGCACTTACACATACATACACACACACGCACTCACTTTGCCTTCGTGTTCATTCTGTACACAAAGCGCCTAAGCTAATTACCGTTGATTCAATTTGCCCATAGCTCATTTTCTTTAGCAATTTCCTGTTTCTCTTTGTTGCTTGTACCTTGCGGTCTCTTCTCCTCTTCGTGTCGTGTCCATTCCGTTTCGTTCCGTTCCGTCCCGCGTACCTATTTCTTTAATTTGAGCAGTTTGGTAATTTAAAAATTGGAGCCCCCCATAATCAACTGTAATGCGGCCGACTCAACGCTGAGCACGCAAACAGCAAGCAGCGAGCACCAACAACAACAACAGCTACAAAGCAAAACATATGCTTCAACAACAACAACAGTAATGGGCACGCCACAAAGCTTCACTCACAGACACAAAACCAGACAGTCACACACACACACACATACATAGACACTATCGATACACGACACAGACACACCTCCCCATTTGCGAATAGTACTCGCTGCTAGCTGGTCGTAAATTATTTGCCGACTTTGTATGTGACGGAAACAGCTGATTTGTTATCAACGGCGCTGAATATTCACAGAAGATGAGAGAGAGAGCGGGAGAGCGCTAGTGAGAGAGCAGCATGCTCTTCATGTGCTGAATTCTCACGCTCAGCGGCAGCCAACAACAACAGAAGAAGAAGCAAATAATAAAAACAACACATCGACGACGGCGGCGACGCCAACATCGGCTGCTGCTATGGCAACGACCTTCCTTATTTATTACAATGTGTGTAATCGTCTTCTCTATGTGTGTGTGTGCGCTTGTGTGTGTACTGTGTCTGCTCTGCTTGCTTGGGACTTATGTGTAAGAGAGAGAACGATATAGACAGAGAGGGGGCTGAGGGGGATAGCGGCAGGCGCTGACTTAAATTGCTTAGTTTTTAGTGCAGAAATGTCTGCAGCATTTAAGTTTAATGCTGGCTCGTTAGTGTTCGTGCTGCCGCCGCTGCTGCTGCGCTGCTGCTGCTGTCGTCGCTTCTTATGCTTTGCTTTGGGTTTTGCCTGCTTTGTTAGAGCGAGATGGGGCTATAATCTCTGTTTTTTTTTGTGTGCACTGAAAATGTTTGTGCTCATTGCGCAGTTTCCGTGTGGCTTAGTTTGAATTTTATTTGAGTTGTTGTTGTAACAGGCTGTTTTTTTTTTCGTTTTTGGTTTCTTTGCGGATTTTATTTTAGTGCCGCACCTTTGTGCATAAATGTGTGTGTGAGAGAGATGGCAGCTGTAAAAGCTTAGAAATGAATTTTTACTGGAATTAAGAAGTGGCAAATGCGGAATACGAATGAGCAATGGAAAGGAAAACTTGCAAACTAAATATGTAAATATATTTTGTGTAAATAAGAATAATGTCAAATTATTATATATTTATTTGGAATGTTTAAATATGTTATTGATAGTAAGATGTATATTTTGTAAATTGTAAACAGAATAAAATAATAAATAATTAATTTCAATAGCAATTGCATTTTATATTTACGACTGCGTTTTCAAGTACGGTTCTTAAAAGCTGGCCAAAAGAACCGTTTGATCAAAGTGGTGCATAAAACCGAAACTGCGCAGAGAAGGGGAGGCCATAAAAGAAATCATCAAAATTAAAGCAGGGCAACACTTAAAACGCACGCTCAAAAGAGAGCGAGAACGCGAGCAGTGAGCAAAGAAATATGATTACAAAATAAAAAGGCAGCAGCAGCAGCAGCGACGGCAGCGGCAGCGGCGTCGCTCTCTCTGGCGCAAACAATGAAAGCAGTTGTAAAGATGGCCGCCATGGCTATTATATGGCTGAATTTGTAAATGACACCAACACCTATGCAACACGCCAGAGAGAGAAAGAGCGAGCTGCCATGTGTTTCGGTTTCAGGCACTGAATGCAATTGGCTTAAGCGTTTGCAGCAACAATAACAAAGCATGTGTGTTCTGCTGAATAAGCGTCGACGTCACGGCCCAGTCGGCAAATCAGCTGTGCGGCTGTTTCAATAAAACAGCAGGTAAAACGCTGCTAGCCAGAAAAAAGGGCCACGCCATGAAAAACAGTCGCCTGAGAGAGCTTGACGCGTGCGGACGACGAATGTGAGACGCAGTGGAATTCCTACAATATTCACAGCAAATACTTGAAAAAAACTTACATAGCAGCAGCAGCTATAATCTAAACAGTTGCTGAGCATAATTCACATAATCAAAACTGTGTTAAAAAATAAAACAGAGACAAAAAAATCGATGCACAGCAAAAGTAAAAAAACAACAAACGTCTTTTAACATTGAACGTTGGCGTCGCGTAACAGCTGTTATTGCTCTCGCTCTCACACTCTCTCTCGAGCTCTGTTTCGATTCAGCACAATTCAGCGGCACGCGCTCTCTTTGCCAGCTGAATGTTGAAATATTACTGAAAAAATTGACAACATCTTAAAGGCTGTTTCATTTCGCTAGCGCTGCTCAACGTGAACGGACGTGTCGGAGCAATTGTTCTCTCTGCCTGTCGTCGGCAAACAAGACAAGAAAAAAACAGAATAAATAAAAATAAAATAAATTACACAAGACTGAAACCAACAAGCAGCTAAAATAGTTACAAAAAAAAAAAAAACAAAAGAAAAAACCAAGACTGATTAACCAATTACAATAAATGCAAAACAATTTGAATTACGGGTGCGAAAAGCAAAAAAAAATCAAAAATTAACCGCAAGCAGCAGCAGCCAGCAGCATATGGATTAAGGTTCCTCACACACACACACACACACAAACACACACACATACACAGAAACGGATTAAGCACAGCTTTAACTACAGTTAAAAGCTCTCATTTGGATTACCAGTGTTTCAATTGCAGCATGTGCAAAAGTCAAAAGTGAAGTGTCAAAAAGAAGAATAAGAAAACGAGGAAAAGCTCTGAAAATGAAATGCTAAAGTGAAAAGCAAAGCGATAAAAATATCTATAATTAATTAATTATTGTTAGAAATTAAAAAGGCTAACCGGCAACAACAAAAATGACGATGGCTGCATGTTATGCCAATTATGACATGTCCACCATGTCTTCGCTCTCGCTCTCGCACAGCATGCAACAGCAGCAGCAGCAACAACAACAGTTGCAGCAGCAGCAACAACAGCAGCAGCAGCAACAACAGCAGCAGCAGCAACACATGTATCATGCTGCTGTTGCGGCACAACAGCAACAATTGCTACAACGCCATCAACAACAACAACAGCAGCAACAACAAATACCCGCCAACAATAATAAAATTGCAGCCAGCAATCACCGACAGAGCAGTGTTGCCAGTCGCAATGCAAGCAGCGCTGCCAACAGCAGCAGCAGCAACAACAACAGCATTGCCAACAACAATAACAGCAACAATAACAGTTCTGTTAGCAGCAATAACAGCTCTGCAAGCAACAACAACAACAGCAACAGCATTGCCAACAGCAACAAGGACTACAGCATTCCATTGCACGTCGACTGCAGCGTGGAATACGAGCTGCCCAACCAGCCAAAGCCGCCCGCCGGGCAGCGAGTGGAGCCGCTGCTGATGATTCACCCCTGTTATTTTCGCAAAATGGAGTCGCAGCGACGCAGTCCGTTTGTCAACAATATGCAGGCGACGGCGGCGACAAATGTGCAGCGCAGCAGCAGCGGCGTGAGCAGCGCGACAGCAGCAGCAGCAGCGGCGGCAGCAGCAGCAGCAACTGTTGTGGCAGCCACAACAAATGCCAATGTAGCCAGCAATGCGAGCAGCAGCAACAGCAGCGCAGCAGCAGCAGCAGTTGCAGCAGCAGCAGCGCGACGCAAAACACAACAACAACTGCAACAACACCAGCAACAGCAGCAGCGACAGGCAGCGGCGTATCAGCAGCAGCTGCGTCAGCAGCAGCAGCAGCAGCAAATGTCACAAATGTCGCAGCAGGCGTTGTATCCAGTGCAACAACAACAACAGCAACAGTTGCAGCAACAACAGCAACGCCAGCAGCAGCAGCAACAACAACAACAGCATCGCAACAACCAAAGTCGTCAAAGCCAAAGTCATGCAGCAGCAGCAGCAGCGACGTCGACGTCGGAATGGGAACAGCTGCAACAACAACAGCAACAACACCTGCAACACCAACAACACCAACATCAGCAACACCAACAACACCAGCAGCAACACCATCAACAACACTTGCAACATGCCGCCTCACTTTACACAGCCAAAAGCAGCAGCAGCAACAACAACAATAACAACAACATTTCTGCCTCTGCCTCTGCCAGCTACGTGAGCAGCGCTGCTGCGTTGGCGCCCTGGAATGCAGCGGCGCAACAGTCGGCGGCCGCAGCGGCAGCGACGGCGGCAGCGCTGCTCATCGATCGTTCACCAATGGCAACAGTTCCTAGCAATTATCAGGCCGGTCCTGAGGCCACAACAACAACAGCAACAATTGCTGCCGCTGCTGCTGCTGCTGCTGCAACAACAACAAATGGCGGCGGCGGCAGCGACAAGTTGAGCGGCAAATATCGGCAATATTTGCGAACGCAGCAGCAGCAGCAGCGCATGCATCCCTATGCAGCAGCAGCAGCAGCGGCCGCAGCAGCAGCAGCAGCATCCCTCGCTGCGAATTTAACGCCAGCAGCGGCGGCTTTTGTTCCTTATGGAGCGACGGCGGCTGCGACGTCGGTGACGGGGGCAGCGGCAGCGCCAACATTCCAGCAAATTTCCTGCTACAATGTGTGATCCAACAACAACAACAACAGCAACCACAACAACAAGAATAACAACAGCAAAAGGCAACAGCAAACTGAGAGCAGCAGCAAACAACAACAACAAAAACTGAGACAGACGCTTACCAAGTAAACGTCAATGAAAACAACCAACAACAACTGCAAAAAGAAAAGCTTTTTCCTTTTTTTAGTAAACAAAAAAAAAAAAAACAAAATTGTTAAATGTTCTGTTATAGTTTTCATATTTTAGTTTTCAAAGCGCTTGCAAAATGAAAAACAAAACGTGCATTTTTTTTTGTATGACAAAAAATAGCGCAAAAGAAAGTAAGAAATGTTAAGAAGAAGAAAAGCTCCTTTTTGTGTGCAGTGCTTAAAAGCTAAAACTAACGGCACGCTTCCAATCGAAGCCTATTTGTAATTAAGATCGAAAAATCAAAACGAATAGCAAAGAAAAAGAAGAAAAATACAACACACAAAATTGCAAATTGTGATAAACTCGAAAATAATTTGTTAACAAAAAAAAAAAAATAAGCGAAAACAAAAAATAAGAACTGCAGTTTTTAAGTTGAAAATATGTCATACAAAGAAGAAGAGGAAAGAGGAAAAAAGTGTTTCGTTTTTTGTTTGATTTTTAGCAAGCGCTGTTCAAAATTTGTTTGTAATTTCCAATTTGAAACTAGCTGCGAAAGATTGTTGCCAAAAAAAAAAAAACAAAAACAAAAAATGAATAAAACAAAGCCCAAGAGAAGAATAATTGAAATTTAGTTTTCATTTAAGTAATTTGTAGTAATTCGATAAACAAACAATACAAAAACAAAAACAAAAAACATAAACATATAAAAACAAAAACAAAACAAACAACAAAAAAATGCAAACTATTGTAGTGATATTTGTTATAAAATAATTTTAGTAATTAATTTAATTTAAATTAAATAAACAACAACAACAAAACCACAATTGCGTGTCAACCAACAACAACAACAACAGCAGCAACAGCAACAACAACAACAATAATAACAAGTAAATGAAAATGCTAAAAAACTAAAACATATGCTTATTTAATTATTATTAATGAATCCAAGCTCTAGAACGAAAAAATCAAAGCAAAAATATATATTACAAAAAATCTCTAAAAAGGACGAAACAGAATTGTTACTGATACAAAAAAAAAATACGAAGAAAATAATAAAAAAAACAAAAATACATATATACAAAAAAAAAAATTACACAAACCACACCATAAAAATGAAAATAAAATTTATTCCAAATTATGCGACGTAATTTGATGCAAGAATATGCGAAATGATATATAAATGAAACAAAAATATGCGAAAATCTAGCAAATTGTGTTTTTTTTAATTCGAAATCCGAAAGGAGAATTTTGATTTTGTTCACCGTCGGCATTTTGCTTGTGGATTACTTTTATTTTGGTTTTTTTTTCAGGTTGTCGCTTTTGTTGTTGTTTTATGTTTTACTTTAGTTTTGCTTTAATTCGATTTCTTGCTCGCTTTTTGGTGTCAGCGTCGGCGTCGCCTCCTCAAAGCCCCCTCCCCCATGCCAGTCACTGTGATTGATTGTTGTCATTGATGGAAGACTTTTGCAGACACACACAGAGGCACACACACACACACAGAGATGACAGTGGTCGAAAAAAGTAGGGAGGTCGCTGTCAAAGTCGTTGCTTGTGGGAAAGAAAGAATGATAAAAAAAAAATAAATAAAAGAAATCAGCCCACATACAAAATGGTCGCTTTATGTTTTACAGTTTACTTGGAATGCATGGGCGTTGTGTTTTTTTTTTTTAATTTTTATAGTGGTGTGCTAAAGTCAGAAAACATATAATAATTCTATGAAATTCGAAAAATGCCATAGATTAATGTCAGATCATAGCTGGTCCAATTTCAGAAAGTTTTATTGCTTTTTAATAAATTAATTTCAGTCAAAGATTGCCCAACACTTTAGATAATGACAAGAAAAATATGCACATCACTCTAAATTGTATATATTCAATTTCTTAAGTGATCCCTGTGATAAGTTATATCATTTAATTAATTTCAGCCTAAAGATTTCATATTCAATTTCTAAAAAAAAAGCTAAACTGATAATGAATTTTCAACAAAATTTGAAAACTTGATTCGAGTGCATTTTGATATGTTTTTCCATTATCTGATTGTTAACTCAAGTTTCATAGGAAATCCGGCTGGCAAACATTTCAATATCTGTTTTTTTGTGTGTTTTATTATTGCAACGGAATTAATTGTGAATAAAATGAAGCAGAAAATGACATCCGTTTGCCATTGACAGAAACTGAAGCTCATTTAGCCATTTGATTTGTGACTAATACTCGTTTGAATCCGCTTTGATTCACATTGATTCACTTTTGGTCTGCCCTGAATCTGAAACGAGTCAAAGACAAGAAAACGACGAGGAGAACAGGAATTGGAAGGCGAACGCGGATTAATATATCTTCCATATATGTAGCTAAATATATATATATATATATATATATATATATATATATATATCAAAATCAACTTTTGCTAATAAATATACAACTCTGCTCGGCAGTTGTCACTCTGAAAATAAGTCCAAATATTTTTATAATTTACGTCAATTTTAAATTGGAAAATATACAATTTTCAACTAATTCTAAATTCTGTTTTACGTTTAAATATAGAAAAATTTTTCACAAATACAAATTTTCTCAATTACAAAAAATAACTTTACTAATAAAACACCAATAAATCACATTTTCTGAGCGATCACTGTAATAAACACACACACACACATACAAACACACTCAGCAAATCTTGTTTAGCTGTGACGGGAGAAAATAGTCGTTCGGTTTGTATGCTGATTTAGGTCTGTGAAATGATTGCAAACTATTCATTTATTCAGTTCATCAATCACACACGCACACACACTCATTTAAGTGGGGTGGGCAACAATAGATTGCAATTGCAATTGGCAGTAATTTAAATTCACTGCAATCGCTTAAAAACATGGAAACGATAAATAATTGTTTTTTTTTTGTGTTTTGTGCGCACGAAATCAGCTGTTGCCCACTGTTTGTAATACTCCCCATACCACCGCCGCTTTCCAGTCATTCCCATTGAATAGGCGAGGTCGTTGTCGTCACAATTCTATTCACATGCATAAGTGGAGGATGCCTGTATGTGTGTGTGTGTGTTGGCAAGCAGGTGCTTGAGCTTTAACTGGAATGGCATGAAACAAAAGCTGCACTTTATTGGATTGTTGATCGTATGTAGTTTTTTTTCCCCTTCTTCAGAGATAATGGGCTCCGGCTCTTCAAGTGCTGCACTTGAAAAATTCAAGTGTTCGTTTAGTTTTTGTGTTTTGTTTTTGTTGATTTCAATTTTAATTTTTATTTTCAGAATAGAAATGAGCTAAACGTTGAAGTGGCCTGCGTTGCTAAAAAAGAGTATTATTTTATTTTTATTTATTTTGTTTTTTGGGCATGTGAGTCAGGGCAGTGTAGTTTATTAGTAGAACGCACCCAAAGTTTGTTTATAGTGCATTTGTTTAAACAGAAGTTAGCTGACAATAGAAGCCTTCTTTTTATTACCTGGCGATAAACAAACAAAAAGGGACATTAAACGCAACATTTCTTGTGCAAAGACTTTAAATGTTTTATTTACAGTGTACAATTATTTTCTCCCTTACTCGCCCTCTCTCTCTTTCTCCCACTGCATTTAGAAGTTTCGGAATTCCAATGAATTTGCTTAACCTTTGCGCATGCCTTTCCCCCTTTCGCACACCCCTCCCAGCAAGTAGCTGGTGCCATTTAAAAGTCATCAACAGAGATAAATAAACTCAATAATGGGCCAAGCGAAATACACATAAAAGCTCAAACAAAACAAAACGCATGCAAATACAACGGAACCCGAAAGCACACACACACACACGTACATACACTTAACGTACACAGAAATGATTAGTTATTTTTAAAATTCAAGCTGAAAATGCAAACAGAAAGAAAAATTGTTCAAAATGAAATGACGCAAAGCGCATTAAACAAAGTCCAGAAAAAAAAAACAAAAAAAATAAAGTCACATCAAGCGCCGGCACCAAAAAAAAAGACGAAAAACAACAACAACAAAAACAAATTGCGTTGAAAACTGAAGTAGAGCGCAAAATGAAAAGCAAAGACAGAAATGCGACAACGACAACGGCAGCGGAAGCTGTCTAACAAACGGTGTCTCTCTCTGTATGTGTGTGTTGTGTGTGTGGGTGCGAGCAAGAGGGGGGAGGTGTTATATGGCCATTACAGGGACGCGCCTCGCATTGAGGCTGGTCATAAAGCTCATGTTTATGAGCAGCAGAGCAGCGCAGACAGAGACAGACAGAGGCGCGGGCAGCAGACGCCGCCTGGGCAACCAGTTTATGTTTGTTGTTGTTGTTGTTGTTTGTTTTTGTTATTGCTGTTGTTTTTTTTTGTCTCTCTCCCATTCATTCATTCATTTTTCTTTGGCTTTTTTGCACTCTTTGCAAGTGGCTGGTTTTGGGGTCAGCTTAATCCAAGCGCCACATCATTTTGCGACTTAATTAAATCATTTGCCATGTGCCCAAAAAATCATTTAAATTTTAAATAAATACCCACATTTATTTTCTATGCGTTTCACTTTAAAATTTTGCAAATTAGTTTGTTTTTTTGTCGCTTTATTGCTATTGTAATGATGATGACAGCAGCAGTTTTATTTTTTTTATGGATTCTCTGCTTTTTCAGTATACAAATTAAAGTCGTAAATTAAGTACCGCATTTACAATTAAATATGTATTTATGCCAAATGAATTGTTATTTGTTAGCGACAGTTTTAATAAGCTTTAATTAAATTGTAAAACAAGGCAAAAAAAAGAAGAGAGAAATAAAGCCACAATAAAATGTATCGTTAGTCGTTGTAACTAATTAGCATAATTTGTATGCATGAATGCACTGGGAGAAATGTGCGGTTCAACATTTTAAAGCGGCTTTAAATAAATTATAAAATTTATTATTAATTAAAACACGACTAATTTGGTTGAGGACACCGCTCAGCCATCAATTTAAAAACACTCGTAATACGCAAAAGACGAGCCCAAAAAAATTAAGAAAAAAATACACGCACATATATATATATGTATTTATGTATATATATATATATCTATCTACATGCATGCAAATGCTTATGCAAATAGCGATGATTATAAAATAGAAATTTTTTGATTTTCGTTTAACATCTGAGTCACAGAGCTGATGTCAAAAACACTAATTTAGAAATGCAAAAACTTTTTTATTGAATTTCGGACAAAAAAAAAAAAAATAATAAAAAATTAAAATACACAATTAACCTCAAACTGCGACATTTTTGCTTGAACTGAAAACCCTGAAAATATTACAAAATATATAGAGCTGCACTTTTGGCTGGTCCAAAAGTTGAAGTTGAACAAAAAACAAAAAAAAATAAATAAAAAACACTTGTATAAAACTAAATATTATTCATACTTAGCAGCTATGTAAACTTG